GGGGGGGGGGGGGGCATATTCATATATTCGTGTTCTGTTTTATTAATTTCTTTTGAAATCAATTGTTTTTATGGTATGTGAACACGAATATCTGGCTATGCCACTGACCCTGTCAAGTGGCGATAAACACAGTACCTGGAGAAAGCCCACGACTTTTGGCAGAGCGTTGACAGACTCTTTTCACACGAGTGGGCAACGAGAGGATCGAAACCACGATCTCAGAGGGGAAAGGCATTTACTTCGACGACTGCGCCACCGACGCCCCAGTATAATTAGATCTGGGTAAATATTCTGGGCACCCATCTGTTCAGCTGGAGCATTTTACACTTATTTGGTTTACTAATTATTTAGTATCAAAGTATCGTGCTACCAACCTCGTTCCCAGGGTCTCTCTTTCATGCTACGTGCAAGGACGTAATTTTGTTTTGTTAAAGCTGTTACAGTCGATTTCACGAAACTTTGACCACAAATTCTCCGAACGTCGTTGCGAAGTTCACAAGATTGTTGCGAAGTTCAAAAGTTCATAATGAGATTCACAAACCAGTTCGTAAGCTACGCATTTGATTGGCTTCTTTTACTTTATGGACCAATCAGGGACTTTGTTTGCAAATTGGCTTGTGAATTCCAATATGAGCTTCCGAATTTCGCAACGAACTTGCGAACTTTGCAACGAAGTTCCGAACATTTGTGGTCAAAGTTTCGTGAAATCGACTGTAAAACTCAGGTCCACAACGATATATAACCCAATGAGTGAGAAACTCAATGAACTCAAAACCCAAAAGATAATTTTTTATTTTCTCGTAGATAGAAGTGGACATTCCTCGTTGTCATCAATACCACCAGCTTCTTGCGTCACCTACTGCTCATGGGAAATTTAAAAGATTGCTCAAAGCTTGGGTTGTCTCGCATCCTGGTTTAGTATATTGGCAAGGTACTGTAGAGAAGCCTGTGTGGTTTTATATATATTCTAGTGTAATTGTTTAAAGCAGTCACGGGCGAGTATGCATGATCTATAACATATGCAATATATATATACAGTAGTTTATGTCGGGGTTAGATACTCGTTAGGGATTCGAACTCGCACCTTTGGTTCCTTATCCAGTTTAAGTGCACGAAATATTTTCGTGACGACTAAATGCTTGTCGTTGAGGACGCTTGGAGAATTGTATATTCCCCGTTGACTCGATGCTCAATGAGCGGCTGTCTGGAAACCTGAAGACTGAATTCGAGGCAAAGAATTTTTCATTGTACTCTGCAGTGTTAGAGACTAGTTTTATCTCTGAGGGTGATTCTGACTATTTCTTCGTCTTCAATTCCAGGTTTGGATTCCTTGTGTGCTCCATTTCTTTCACTCAATTTTAATGACGAAGGTAAGTTGGAGGGAATTGCTGATGTGTAAGTAGTTAGCGCGATATACATTTTGAAATGTTTTCTTACCACCAATCTAGCTCATTGCAACTTTGTATCTTAGAGAGTTTAACAAAAACAGTAATGTGCAAACATGGTGCCATCCGCATATTGTTAAACTGAAAATCATCCTCAAATCACGTGTATAAGATTTCGGCAGGAAGACATTATAGAAAACCTAAAAGTATTTCTCCGCACTTCACTTGGTTGAAACTGAATATCTACACTTTGTATACCTAACCAAGAACGATTGCGAAAAATGCAATACTACAGTAGGTCCTCTGACAGTAATCGAACCTGTGCCCACGCCGGCCATTACATTACGACACGCACTAACCAACTGAGATACAGAGGTTTTCTGCACTGCAAAAAATCTTTCAAGTTCACCTTATCATAACCTGCACACCAAAAATCCATATCTACAAGAACCTGTGGTTAGAGCTCGACAACTGGCCTCTGTAGCTCAGTTGGTTAGAGCACTGCACCGGAATCGCAGGCCCGTAGGTTCGATTCCTACCAGAGAACCTGGTGTTGCAATTTTCGCAACTGCTCCTGGTTAGGTATAAAAAGTGTATATATATATATATATATATATATATATATATATATATATATATATATATATATATATATATATATATATATATATATATATATATATATCGTCAAATGGATTATTGATCTACTCCAATATTATAGAAAACCTCCCATTATACCCAGTGATACCTCCCATTACCCTGGATTATTTATCGTGGGAAAATAATGTGAATATTGAATAGTCATGTTTTTTGTTTCAGCTCTGGCTCACAGTTGTTTAAAGTCTTTTATCCCCAAGTATCTTTATAATTTCTTTCTCAAAGACAATTCTCCCATAATTCAAGGTATGTTTATTTTCAATATTATGCACATAGTATACAGTATGTTACTTGAACACGTGTTTGGCAATAACCAATAATCATGAAATATGTAATCTCAAATCATTAATAATGCATGAGTAAATTCGCCAACCATATTGCTTTATTTTGCTCACATGATAATACTGGATACCTGGTGAAGTACATTGATCCAGTCCTAGGACTGGACAGAAACTAATTCAGTCCTTGGACTGGATCAAAATTAATTTAGTCCTTGCACTGGATCAAAATTAATTCACCTTACTTTAAGTAGTGATTTATTCGTATGAGATGTCATTTCAAATCCTCAGAGTAGACTTGATCAAATTGCGCGGACTTGAAGTCGGAGTTGAAATATTTCATCTTAACTTAATTAAGGCTGTTTTCAGCGTTTTTCACATGTCGTATACGCACGGAAACATCTTTCTAAAAGTATACTGTGGATTTAGTGTCTAGTGATGCAATCGCAAATTCCATATATTGCATGAATTTCACTATTTTTTCCAGTGCGTAATTGTTATTATTATACATTCACTATGTGCCTTCTGATTGGCCAATAATTCACAAGTTAAATATGGCAATCACACAACCTACACATAACAGTTTTATCTGCTGGCGGGTAACTGAGTTATGCGCAGCACGCGCTATATAATCTCAAGCGACAGTTTTAAATACACGAATATGAAAAGAAGAAAAAACAACATGAGGAATGGCGTTTTTGTGAATGTCTTTTTTTTCAATAAAGCAGGTCTTTTTCATTTTTTAATGAAACTGTAGGTAAATGAGTAGCCTGTGAATACAGAATCTATTTATATCGCAAATAGATTCTGTATTCTGCTATTCCCAGGCTAGTAAATGAGTAGGTGAATATTTTATTTTTGAGAACTAAATGTTGTTTTTTGCGACAAATCGAAAGAATTAATGAAAATACAATGTATAATAAAACAGTTATTAAATTCAGTTTTTGTGACATGCCGAATTATCAAGGTCTCGGTATAAGTATTATAAGTCTCGTCCTCGGCTCGAATGATTCCACTTGTCTCAACATTGATAATTCTGGTTATCACAAAAACCTGATCCAATAACTGTTATACTATTTTTATGTAGGTCAGACACGCACACATGCATGCACACTGACTTTTTTGCAAATCAATAACGTGTGGAGTATCATATTTTAATATGTGGTATTTATTTAGAGTATCTTGCTGTATTTTGTCATCTCATTGCGTTTCACGATCCTGAATTGTTTATTCATTTGGATGAAACTGGATTTCAACCTGAGGTAATAATCAAACTAACAATTGCAAGATTGATTCAATTTTATCAATATAAATCACGGCTTCAACCCCCCTCCGCCCCCCTAAATACAACAAACCCTGACTAAATACAACAAACACCATCTATTCGGTTTAACTTTTAGAGTTTCAAAAGACAACCATTTTTGAATTAGCTGTATATATGGATACCACTTTTCTAATGATTACTGTGATTCAGATTGGAATTTTTGTTTTAGCTTTACGCCATTCCTTGGTTTCTGACAATGTTTACACGTAAGTACACTATTGGATTATAAACAATGACATGATGAGACCCACTCTCTATAGACGCCCCGACCAGGGTGTTTTGTGATAAATGTCCACCTTACTAAACACCCCCACCCTTACCCTTACCCTTACCCTTACCGGGAGAAGTTTATTTAATTGAATTCAACTTTAACATTTGTAAATTAAATGCTTCTTTGTGTTCAGTAAACGTATAGTAAGGGGATTCGACAAATTGAATTTAATTTGTATGACTTTGGGTTGCATGCACCTTCATAACAAGAACGCTTGTTATGGTAATTTATGTTGAGTAAACGTAATAAGGGGATTCGACAATTGAATTGAATTGAATTTGTATGACTTTTGGGTTGCATGCACCTTCATAACAAGAACGCTTGTTATGGTAATTTGTGTTGAGGAAACGTAATAACGGGATTCGACAATTGCGGAATTAGCGCACTGTAAAAACACCGTAGTTAAAAATGGCTTGGTGAATCTAAAATTAATCATGTTTGGGGTATCTTTATGTTCCTGCTTAATTTCCTGGTTAATTTAACCACAATCCTGGTTAACTTGATCACTAAGTTATCGAGGCTAATTTAACCTAAGATTCCTGGGTAATTGAACCAGGCTATATATGACTAAAATGACCAGATTATGTTAGGTGGACTATTAACCAAGAATCCTGGTTAATAATCCTCCTATAGCCTGGTTAAATTCACCAGGAATCCTGGTTAAACTAGCCAGCACTATGACCAGATTAACCAGGGCTGTGGTTAAACTAGCCAGCACTATATGAAAGTTAACCAGGACTGCACGGTTAAACTAGCCAGCACTATATGAAAGTTAACCAAGACTGTGGTTAAACTAGCCAGCACTATATGAAAGTTAACCAGGACTGTGGTTAAACTAGCCAGCACTATATGAAAGTTAACCAGGGCTGTGGTTAAACTAGCCAGCACTATATGAAAGTTGACCAGGGCTATGGTTAAACTAGCCAGCACTATGTGAAAGTTAACCATGACTGTGGTTAAACTAGGCAGAACTATATGAAAGTTAACCAGGACTGTGGTTAAACTAGCCAGCACTATGTGAAAGTTAACCAGGGCTGTGGTTAAACTAGCCAGCACTATATGAAAGTTAACCAGGACTGTGGTTAAACTAGCCAGCACTATGTGAAAGTTAACCAGGACTGTGGTTAAACTAGCCAGAACTATATGAAAGTTAACCAGGACTGTGGTTAAACTAGCCAGCACTATGTGAAAGTTAACCAGGGCTGTGGTTAAACTAGCCAGCACTATATGAAAGTTAACCAGGACTGTGGTTAAACTAGCCAGCACTATGTGAAAGTTAACCAGGGCTGTGGTTAAACTAGCCAGCACTATATGAAAGTTGACCAGGGCTGTGGTTAAACTAGCCAGCACTATGTGAAAGTTAACCAGGACTGTGGTTAAACTAGCCAGCACTATGTGAAAGTTAACCAGGACTGTGGTTAAACTAGCCAGAACTATATGAAAGTTAACCAGGACTGTGGTTAAACTAGCCAGCACTATGTGAAAGTTAACCAGGGCTGTGGTTAAACTAGCCAGCACTATATGAAAGTTAACCGGGACTGTGGTTAAACTAGGCAGAACTATATGAAAGTTAACCAGGACTGTGGTTAAACTAGCCAGCACTATGTGAAAGTTAACCAGGGCTGTGGTTAAACTAGCCAGAACTATATGAAAGTTAACCAGGACTGTGGTTAAACTAGCCAGCACTATGTGAAAGTTAACCAGGGCTGTGGTTAAACTAGCCGGCACTATATGAAAGTTAACCGGGACTGTGGTTAAACTAGCCAGCACTATGTGAAAGTTAACCAGGGCTGTGGTTAAACTAGCCAGCACTATATGAAAGTTAACCAGGACTGTGGTTAAACTAGCCAGCACTATGTGAAAGTTAACCAGGACTGTGGTTAAACTAGCCAGCACTATATGAAAGTTAACCAGGGCTGTGGTTAAACTAGCCAGCACTATATGAAAGTTAACTAGGGCTGTGGTTAAACTAGCCAGCACTATGTGAAAGTTAACCAGAGCTGTGGTTAAACTAGCCAGCACTATATGAAAGTTAACCAGGACTGTGGTTAAACTAGCCAGCACTATATGAAAGTTAACCAGGACTGTGGTTAAACTAGCCAGCACTATATGAAAGTTAACCAGGACTGTGGTTAAACTAGCCAGCACTATATGAAAGTTAACCAGAACTGTGGTTAAATGAACCAGGAATGTAACCAGGAACGTTAAGTTACCCCAAGCAGGGTTAATTTTAGATTCACCAGGAAATTTTTACCAAGGTGTTTTAGAGTGCATGTTTTAGATAATGGCTGGATAACTATGTATATGACTCTGCCTATCAATTATGTAACTAACCTACGACTCTTTGGAATACTAGCCCAATGCTCTGCCAACTGAGCTACGCGAGCATTGGGCTAGTATTCCAAAGGTCGTAGGTTCGATTCCCACGTGGCCGGGCATCTTTTTCAAGCTCGCCCGGTGTGGATATTCACTCAGAGTAACATCACAAGCATCATATTCACCTGAGTACATTACACCAACACAGAAAAAAAATCATGATTATTAGATTACATTGATATCGAAGGAACTAGATTCTGTTCCGAAATATCACATACTCGAGCCGACCAGACCGCGTACATGTAGCTCACTTGGCAGAGCATTGGGCTAGTATTCCAAATGTCGTAGGTTCGATTCCCACCGTGGTCAGGCATATTTTTCAAGCTTGGCCGGTGTGGATATACACTCAGAGTAACATCACAAGCATCATATTCACCTGAGTACATTACACCAACACAGAAAAAAAGTCATGATTATTAGATTACATTGGTATCGAAGGAACTAGATTCTGTTTCGAAATATCACTTACTC